CATGTCTCCGGTTGACTGGCAACTGTTCCCATATCTCTCTATGCAACCAGTCTGAAGATTATCACAGTCTTCTCGATACGGATGGTAACAATGGTTAGGTCGTCGGACAAATAAAAGCGAGTTAACAACTTAGTTAATAACTTGTGGGAATTACTGCAGGATGTACCAGCAAGATATTTCCGACTTGTAAAAGAAGCGGTGTCACTTAGACAAAAGATCGTCTTAGCTCGACAATCAATACACTTTCTCCGCCGCTGTCTAAAACACGGAGTCCTCCTGAACTTCATCAAACGAAGACGACTACACGATATATGCGGGCTACCAGAGGACAGTCACCGAGTACTGGACATCGAATTGCGAATACTATGAATCTGTCTACGAAGCCAACAAAACCAGATGTTCGCCAAGTGGGAGAAGTACGAGACGAAGGAAATCTTTTGTGCTCAGTATTTGGAGGACCGCCTCTGGAGGAGAATGGTGGGCAGGTCAGTATTGATTTGCAACTCTGTTGGGCGTAATGCTAAAGTAACTTTGCGGGGAAAATTCGAAGACCTTATGAGTAAATCGCATAACACGGCTTCAAGAGCGCACAGAAATACCGCTACAGAGCATCAAACAGGTCACAGTAGGATAAATAATGTGCAAGAAAATTCAAGGTTAACCGTGTTAGGAGGCATGACTCTCCTTGACGGTGCGCACTCATTATTAGAATTGGGACCGAGTTTCTCACCATCTGAACCCATTTCTAAGATAACATTGCGGGTCGGATGTAGTTTACATGAACTTCAAGATAGACTCCTCAATAAAGTTAGAGAGTAAACGCAAAATAGGTGCGAACAACATCAAGTGGGGGCCCTACCAGTAGCACCATTTCCCCAGACGTTCTTTAGACAACAAGAGCCCAATAATGAAGTTGATGTTAAATTTCGGATGTTTACGAATGAAACTCTCGAAGTCCATAATCACTATCACTGGAAAAGATACAGCTCAAACCTTACTGAAGTGCAAGTACGTGGTATGCGAGAGGTACAAGAACTGATAAGGTTAAAAAACATAAGACTATCCGTTAGTGATAAGGGTGGAGAGTTTGTAGTAATTACTCATCAGTTAGATGTGGAGATAACGAAAAAGCATCGAAGATGCTTCACTTTATCGCCAACCATTTGAGAAGGAATTTAAAAATAAATACCGAAAATTGAACCACGAATGGGCCAAAATGGCAAGGGCAGCCGGTTTAAAACAGCCAGTTATCTCTCAACTAAAAGTTGACTAACCAGCATGTCTCGTCTTGTACTTGCTCATAAAAACTCATAAGTTACTATCCAGCGATAATCTTGCATCTACTGATCCATCATTGTTTAAGGTTAGATCTATCATTAGCTGCGTAGACGGGCCAACGGATAGGATAATATGGTTTTTAACCCTAATATTTAACCAGTTGTTGAAACACATTCCAGCTCATCTTACGATTACGCAGATGTTTCTGGATCGTCTACGTACTGCGCAACCCAGAAGCGCGTACGTGATGGAGTCCTTCGACGTTACCGCCCTTTATACAAACGGGTCGAATGACTCCGCAATGCAAGCCATATTCGAACTCCTTATACAACACGAAGGAGCAATAATCATGTACGGCTTATCGATTCAGCAGTTGGTGACACTCTGAAAGAAGTGCCTAAACCGCTCAATCTTCAGATGGTCCAGGGGGTATTACGCACAAATGAGAGGGCTGGCAATGCGACAACGACTGGCACCAAACCTTGTCATTGTATTTATGTCTAAGGTGGAAGCGCCAATAATCGACCTCGGTCCGTTACTCTGCTGTAGATATATAGATGACTGCTTGGTCTTTTGTTCAACGCAAGAAGAAATTGAGAGATGTTTCGAGCTGTTGAACGAATAGTCAGAATATACTAAATTCACCCGAGAGAAACCGAAAGAAAACTGGCTTCTATTCCTCAATGTCCAAAATACCCCGTCAGAAAATGGCTACATTACGAAGTGATACCGAAAGCCAAGCAGTAAAAACATCTTGGTTCATTACCTCTCCTCTCACCCTTTTCACACGAAAAGGGTGCTTGTAAGAAACATGTTTCAAACAGCAACCAACGTGTGCAAGGGAGGCAAGCAGAGAGAGGAGTCCCGGAACTTCGTGCAGCAAATAGCCATTTCAAACGGCTACGAAACTGTAGCTCGGGATAAGTGTAGAGGAAATCCTAGGCCCCCCAAACGACAACTCTAGCGATAGAAAGATCCCGTTTATCCTACCTTTCATCTCAAATGCTGTAAGCGCAGCTATAAAACGCTGCTTAAGAAAGGCTGGTCCAGAGAATTCGGTAAACGAAGTTGAAATGCCACTGAGTATTCTCAGGCGTCGGCTAGTTCGTAATCGCCTATATGACCGACTATGTGCAACGCAAAATTGCATAAGTCGGGAAACGTAAACTAAATACCCCACTAGGCACGCATAGGATCTAGAGATATAACGGGGAGGACTTTGAAGTACGTGTCATGATCATCGCATAGGAGAACACAAGCGCTCAAAACTCTTGAGGCGTTCGGGATTCATAAATCCGAAAATGAACCGCAGGGAAGAACGCGTCATTATATCGCATGATATTGGGCAGTATATAAGCCTCTTATTCTTATGGGAGGGGCACATTACGCCTCCATGTGAATTCTATGCGGTTGGTCTCCACGCGACATACTCAGTGGAAGCCTCATAGAGAGCGGTGAGTGTGCAAAGCTGTGTTAGATGTGATTGAAATCTTGGTTTAGCGTTTTCTCTGCTTTGTTATGGAGGTGTTTGGCCGAAGAGATTGCTGTCAACTTGATCCTTTCAGGCTCTGATGAAGGAGAAATCCTCCGAAACGTCAGCTTATTCGTAAATAAAGAATAAAAATAACACCTCGCGTTTGCTCAACAAGAATATGAAGAATTACTTGATCAATGCCGAGGTTAATAGAAAGTCGGTCGTAGGAGTTAATAACTGAATTGCAACCGTATTGTGAGACGGTCGTATTTTCTTTCACAATGTTGCATTGTGGTATTTCGGAATTTCTTGTTTGAATATTCATGGTCGGTTTGAAAAAACGAGGTAGTTGGTTGGTTTACATAAAATCGTATTGTAAAATCGTTGAGAGAAAGAAGCTGAGAAATTCTTCATCACCTCGATCACTCGTAACCAAATTCTTCAGTAAGAAACTTATACGAACACCAGAAAACTTAATTTGTCTATGTCTATGTACAACAAAAAACTGCATAATTTGCCCAAATGGTAGAGACGGTGATTGCATGAGTTCGGGTACAGTCTATCTGATCTCTTGTAAAGCGTGCGGGCACGAATATGTTGGCGAAACGGGTAGACCGCTCTGCGTCCGCATAAAAGAACACCTAGTCGGTAAATCTAAACTAAAACACAATACCCCACTAGGCGCGCATAGGATGCAAGAACACAACGGAGAAGATTTTGAGGTAGGAGTCACTATCCTTACGCAGGAATCGAAAACATCAGCGCGAAAAACTCTTGAAGCGTTTTGGATCAATGCCAAAAATTCAAAAATGAACCGCAAGGAGGAGTGTCTTGTCATCACGCGTGACCTAGCGCCATACCTCAGGCTGATCCAATGATCTGACATGGACCCAGTTATCGACCATGTATTACTCTGTGCGGCGGCTATCCACCAACTAACTTAAATACTTACAACAAATAAACGGTAGGTGTTTGAATGAAGCTGTTTCTTATGCGAATACAAATCGATTTATCAAGTTTTATCTGCTAGGGTTATGAAAGTGTTTGGCTGAGTAGATCGCATCTCAATTTGACCTTTCCAGGCTCTGAAGAAGGCGAAACCGCCGAAACGTCAGCAATTGTGTTCTAATAAATTCTATATTAACAACCTCGTGTCTGCTTATTGATGAAAAACATTGAAAACTTAATTTGTTTTCGTCGTGAGGTGGATCTGAACAGTGGGCTACGTTCGCTCGAGGGATATGAAAAGTGTTGAAAAGTTTCATAGTTCTAGTATGATACTCCTTCTTTCCACTGTTTTTGAAGGATCTGAAAGATTTCCATTGAATGGTTAGCCAATAGGAGCTCGTCAAAACTTCTAATGTCGGTCTCATTTTCAGCTGAAACGAGTCGGTTTAATAATGGCCATAGAGCACAGTTTGAGACACAGCAACATCCTACAGTTGCTATGAGGCGGTGAGTCAATAGGTAGAGGAAACTTTACCCTTTTTGGATCCATTCCATGAAGTTAACCCTCTCCGCTTTTTTAACTTCCTGCTTTTAGATTCATTTTACGGGTCATAGAATTCTACAATGATGGAAATCACAGGACAGGTTTCACCTGATCTCTGAATTTTCCGGGGTCCTCGAAGTCATTATGGCGGTCTTAACGTGCGAATGCATACATAACGTATGTCAACTGATCCATTCTAGTCTTAAACCATCATCAGCACTGCTAGCAAGAAGACCATCCCTATACATTTATCGTACATCGGTGCATTCCAATTTCACATAGTGATAGCGGGCTCCGTTTCTTACGCGGCGTGATCAGACGTCCTTGAGTGAGATTGGAATAATGAATTTCTATGTATATCATATCTGTTCGTTCAAGGAATATAACAGTCTGGTCTGGAAGAAAGACATTTCGCGGTCCATTGTTTGCTCGCCGTAATCCGGCTTTCTAGGAACGTCAGCCTGTTTCGTTTATCACAACAACCAGGCTTAAGTGATAGCAAGTCTACTCGCATCTACCACGATGCTGCTACGAGCTCTGTTCATCCCAGCAATTCTTGGAGTCAGTCACGTTTTAATCGTTGATTGCTGTGGTCCAGGTATCGATCATAAAACATTTATTTTCAGTTCAAGTATTGTACAATGCACTTTCTCATTCGTTGTTAAATAAGATTTAGTAATAAACTAGCTTGTAACCTCACTATACTGAAACACGAAAGGAAAACGTGTTTGTTTTAGCTAGGTGTCGATTTCTGATATGTGTAAGGTTACACTGAAGGTTTCCATAGGTACCAGCAAATGTGTTGTTGTTTAAACAAATCAATATTTTGAAATCCTCAAAAAATAATTTGATCTGCAGCTCCAGAAAGAACGCTGAGAGCCCGTGCGGTTATGCTGAGAACTGTACGAGGAGGATCACCGGGAGAGCAGGCGGGAATCGTCGAATTTGTACAGAGAAAAAATCAGCTTACGGTCAGGTGCTATCTACTTCTAAAGTCTACGAAAATTTTCGTCTTGTGAACCTAGTGTTTTGTGAACCTAGTCGGGAATTTAGGTTAGCGGAAGAGTGAGTGGATTGACACCAGGTCTTCATGGTATGCATGTCCATCAAAACGGCGATCTAGGAAATGGCTGTCTAGCCGCTGGTGATCACTACAATCCTTCCAGTATGACTCATGGTTCTCCTACTGCTCGGGTTCGACACGTTGGCGATCTTGGAAACATCGTCGCTGGGGTGAGATTTAAAAAATGTCAGTACCCGCTATGGAACTGAGTTAATCTGTTAGCAAAAATCAATTTGTCCTTAAAGTTGGTCTCTAGTAAGATATCAGTACCAGCTATAGAACCGAGTTAGTCTGTTAGCAGAAAGCAATTTATCCTTAAAGCTCGGTCTCTTAAAAGATATACATACAAGTTTCATGTTCTCATTAAGTGAGTCTTTACTTTTTTTTGATTACTTCTATTGAAACAGCACGTAAACGGAAAATTCGTGGATGAAACATAAATGTTAAAGCGTTCGGTGTTAATCTATCCCTTGTTAATGCGTCGTGCATTCGACTTATTCAAACATTATAGAGGGTGGCGACATAGTGATGCATCAGCCTGTATTCTTATTCTCCCGGATAAGCTTGCTACGAATTTTAAGACCTTGTATTTATCGGTAGCTAAGTTTTCCTGGAACGAGAGATTGAACCAACCCAAAAAGCATACCTCAAGGCACATCTAACCGTTTCAGACTGTATCCTCTCATGTTTTATCAGCCAAAAGACTTTAATAAGATGGAGGAGAAGCATGTAGTAGAGTGTGCGGAGTTGTCTCAGAGAAATAAGCTTCATGTCCATTCCGGGAAAACCCATGAAGCCTACCATTAAAAAACCAGTTATCGCGACGCTTCCCGTGAAACCACTCGTGGGTGTTTAGGGCAAAAAAGAAACAGTTAAAACGAAGCGTTTCATTCTTTCCTTCGTAGGGTGTCCCGCGATACCGTAGTCAGTGAGAAGTTTGCCAAGAGCTAAGAGCCATTCTAAGTTGAATAAATCTAAATTATGACGATCTAGCTTTACGATGTATGCACACTATCACTGAAATCATCTATCAAAGACGTAATGCGCAAGCACGACGTTACTGGATTGCCTGAGATAAGTTGGCGCCGGTTATTGAATGCTGTTTATGTTACTGGAGGAACACTGTTCATGAAATCGTGGGATAGTACAAGAGTCAGCAACATCGGTGCCTCCTTTAGTACTACCCTGACCTGCGTCGAATTCTTTGAATAGCCAGGGACCTATTAATGGTTTAAAAGCTATTTCTCGATGCTGGCTCTGGCAGTCCTCGTTCACATTTCAACATCAAGCCATGGCAGAAGTCAGGACGAGGCATTTCTTTTGGATTTGGAGAAGAGCTACAGGCAAGAACATCCGTAATAAGATCATACGTCCTCGCGTGCAGAGAATTTATTAATTAACGGACTAAGGAGATCGCTCTCTCTCGATTAGAAGGAACAGTCACTGCATCTAAAATGGTAATGTAGACGATTGTACTTGTTTTTCATGTTGGCCTGTTCGAGAATCACCGTCATATGCCAGAACAGCGATTTTGTATATTTCCTCCCGACAATTCCTTTTTTTTTGAGATTCTACGTGTTATCTCTGGGAAAAACATCACAGTACTCGGTCAGAACAGGAATAGATTGATTTCTTTCAAGTCGTGTTTCAGAACGCGTGTTTCCATATCACTAAGTAAATTACATAGGAGAGACCTACGCGGCAGCTATGTCTGTCTTCAAAAAGGTCTTCGCTTGAATCCTTAAAAGGAGTGAATGACCGCTGGGCGATGAGTAGCCATACCAGAAAGCAAAGCTCGTCACCGTCTGATCATATCCATACAATGACGAGGCTCATCAAAGTACCGACAGAGTAGAAAATTCTGCTTCGCTCGTGTTTCATAAAAGGAGCATTTGACTTAGCGGACACAGAATCGGTGTCGACTAAGTCAAATGCTCGTCATTCAAATGTCTTCGTCCAAAAAGCAAATATGCCTAGTGGGTGGCTTGATAACCAAAATTTCGTCATTCCATTTTCAGTGCTATTTTTATCGGGGCATAGATGAGAATTCAACAAGGTGAGATCATGTTACCAGACTTATTTAGAGCGTTCTTATAAGCGTTATGCATAAATGAAGCAGAATAACCTGGAATCAAGACCTCAATGAGGTCGAGCTTCGTCATCATCGGCAAAACGATGACGGATCATTCTTCATTCTGGGATCATAAACTTGCCAAACAGAACAAATGCTAATCGATTTTCATAGCGCTTGCATAGAGATGTCGTCTCCTTCGAAACTCAAGAAAACTGGTAATCTCTAGAAACAGATTCGTTTCTGATGTGCCAATCACGATCAGCGGATAAACGTCCTCGATAGTGCCAGATAGAAATATTTGCATCAAGATCTTAAAATAATGAGCGGGTTATCCGGAAAGCTGAACAAAATCAAGGTATAATACCTGTACAGAATACGACAATATTTATTTTATTTATTTAATTCAATTTTGCACGACTCGTCTTCTCTGCTGCGCTGACCTCAGCCCTGCTTGCATTCGATTTGTTTCCTCGTATCCATAAGCTCTTCGAACAGTTTGTGTATTTGTCGATTACTATTTGAGGATTTTTCGTTTTCTTCTTATTTTCTGTTATCGTAACATTAACGAACAATGCACGATAGTGAGGAATACAAAAGACTAAGTTGCGTGACCACCCTCTCGACTTTGAGATTCTCCGCCTTAACGTACGCACTGGAAGCCTAGAACCCACATAAGCATGATAGACAGACAGCCAGCGCTGTGAAACACGCTACTTATTAAATGATGCTAAGAGTATTGCGCATCACGCAAATAAAAGGAAAAAGGATAAAGCTCTCGGCGTTGATCAATTCCTAAGGGATGCGCCATGCATTTGACTTCACTAAGCGTAGTTTGAAGGTGATTGAATGCATATATGGCCTTAACAATGACTCGCGGTGGCCTACCGATGCATCCAGCCAGTGTTGCTATCCTCCCAAACAAGTCTGGTACCAATTTGCCGACCGCGGTGGAGTGGAAAGCTTGGTGGGCCATGGGTGTGAGGACCGATTCCACGTGGGTGTTGTAGGAAGTCTCCGACAACTGCGCCACACGCGTCCTTCACGCTAACAAAAGAGAAAATCTGAAGTTGCGCACTACGTCGATAGTCGGAGAGCAAAGAAACTGTCGTATAGGTTAAAATGTTGGAAGTTGGTGTTCGCTAAACAAGTTGTGTGGCTTGATGGATGACAACCAGTGGGCAGCAACCATTGCGAACTAGGTCCCACCTCATGTTAAGCATATAAGAGAAGGACGACTTTCTTAACGAAGATTCTGGGAAAATATAATGCCAAAGGTGTACCTAAAGTCTGCAAAACGCTATATCACTTCTTCCTAACAGGAACAATGTCCAAGGTCATCGAAGTTTGTCGGGAGTACCACTTACCTCTAGTCCTAACCTTTGTCGACTATGAAAAAGCGTTTGACAGTGTCGAAAGGAATGTAATCCTATCAGCGCTCGTCGACCATGGAGTGAAGCCGTCTTACATAGGAACTCTGTCCGACTGTTATCGAAACTGCACTGCGAAACTATAGCTTTTCCTTCGAGCTCTCACCATGCCCATAGGAAAAGAGCTTCGACAGGGCGACACAATATCGCCAAAGCTGTTCAGTGCCGCACTGCAGTGGATAATGAAGTCACTCGATTGAGATGAGAAAGGCATACATATTGATGGAAGATTCCCACCAAACCTTCGTTTTGCCGACGACAGTGTCATCTTCTCAAGAAGTACTAGCGAGGCAGAGGTAATGATCAACGAGCTCAACGAAGCGGGGAAAACATCGGACTTCGCATAAATCGAAAGAAGACCCTATTCATGAAAAACCCATGGTGCGATGGCGAAAAAACTGAATTGGGTGGTTCTCCCATTGCAGAGACCACCTCGTATGTTTACTTTGGGCGATCTATGATCACGGAAAACAACATGAAGGAGGGAATAGATAAAAGAAGAAGAGCAGCCTTGACCGCATTCGGGTCTCTCAAAGAAGCCACCGACCAACTGAAGGACCCGAAAATCCGCGCTCACCTCTTTGATTCTACGGTCCTCCCAGCGCTCTGTTATGCTGCTGAGACGTGGGTTGATACTTCAACTACGTCAAGATTACTCCGCACTACACACAGAGCACTTGAGCAATGTCTTTTGAAATATAAACGGCACTCTCAATATGTAGCCGGAATGCGAAATCTTCTCTGATCTTCGAAATCTGTCACATCTTCGAGATCCAGTAGAATATACATCGACAGCGAAACATAGATGGGCCGGTCACATAATGAGAAGAGCCGACGACAGATGGACGAAAAGAACAGTAGAGTGGACTCCAAGAGAATTCAAACGTCGTCTTGAACGACCACCTACACTTTGGGCGGACGTGTTCGTAAACAAAGTTATTCAGCTGTGCCCGCAGCTGCAGTTGTTTTACAGATCACGGTACGAGACTAGCACGCGCTACCAAGCTCGAACAAGACCATCACCATGGACTACGATTGCGAATGAAAGGAACGAATGGCATATGTGCTGGGGTCCGCATAGCTCGTGAAGACTGACCGTCCAAGTATCCAAGTAACCAACAGAGGCAATCGGTGCTCTTGTAAGGTGACGGAAAAAATGTACGTCTCATTTGCTCACGTCTGAACCATTCGTACCTTCTACATTATGTTAAAGATCAGTTCTACTATAATGCTGAGATATTTGCAAAACTCCGGACCGTAGGTGTCTGCGGTGGGGAACGAACGCGCTATTGTCCTTTCCGGAGAGTAACGCGTTCACCACCACGCCATGCGGGTCCTTCGGTTCGCCTGTCTCTAATCTAGTTCTATCGATCTTTTGGCATCAGCAATCACCCGTCAACGGAGTAATCACCTAATCAAAGAATAGGCAGTAAATAAAAAGGTTAGGATTGTGATTAGAACTATAGCCTCAGCTTAAGTAGGTTCAATGCCGATTTGGGGTCCCCAGATCAATGCCGTTGACGTGTGGTTGTAGATGGCAAAAGATCGATAGAACTAGCTAAGAGGCAGGCGAAACGGTGACCTGCATGGTGTGGCGGTAAACGTGTTACTCCCCGGAAAGGACATTAGCGCGTTCGTTCATCACCGCAGACACCTGCGGTCCGGAGTTTTGCAAATATCTCAGCATTGTAGTGATTATATTTTGCAAAATACCCTGCCGTTAAAAAGAATAGGCAGTAAGTAATAAGGTTAAGATCAGTTCTACTCCTAAGGAACAGTGCAACTGTTAAAGGCATTTTACAACACACGGTCTTTAGTGTGGTCCCATGCACCGAGCAAACCTATCCAACAATATCTCTGGTGTTAGCAAATTTCATTAAACTTGTCTGGGCTGATAAAAGCACTTGACTGAATCGAATGCGAACCGAAGACCAGATAATAAAATAAACATAAGTGTATAAATACAATAAACTGCAAAAGTGTCAGAGTAGACTTGTCTGACTTAACAGAACTAATTGGCGTCGTGGGTCTATGTAAGCGTAAAATCTCCATAGCAATGAATATAGTTGGAAAGCAGAACAACACGGTATATCTCATGAACTTACAATATTTTTGTTAACTTTCCAGCCGGACGGCGTTGCGAATATCAACGTAGTGGATACAGTGATGAGGCTCAATGGACCGCAAAGTGTGCTTGGACGAGCTCTCGTCATTCACGCCATGAGAGACGACCTGGGCGTTGGCAACTCACCACTGAGTTTGACAACAGGCGATTCCGGCGCCCGTGTCCTCTGCGGGATAATCGTAATGACCTAAATGCGTTCATCGGCTACTACTTAGCTCTCGTTGCTGTATATTCCCGGCTATCCACAGAACTACTACAGTGGGGCTGTTGTACTACTTACGAGGATTTGTGACGAAAATGTTCAGAGTTCAAAACTAGAATGAGGACTCTGTATGCTGATATGTGGTGATATTCTACCTTTCTGTCACGTTCATGTAGTTCTCCTATACATCGTACTATTGTTTTCTTTGAACTTCTCTTTATTTTAGGCATTGAAAAAGAAATGTGTTGTTCGTAGGTGTTTCGAGAAAGTTAGAAGAGCGTCACATTAAAGGATCGTCATTTTGTCCCACGAATGAGGCCATTCGTTCACTGGGTTTTCCCGTTCGCTTTTTCCAAGCTGATATGAGAGTTTCGGTCTAATTAATGGTGGCTCTGCGAGAGTTCAGTTCGACGTTTTTATTTATATTTCGATTTTCCGTTCCCACTATGTTTCTGAGCATTTGTTATTCTTGTATGCTATGCTATGTATTTTGTCCTTTTAATCTCAATAAAAGTTGCATTGGTTCCATAAAACAAGGATGACTTTACGGGAAGGCAAGATTGTCAGTGTAGCAGCGACTTCTACACTTGAAGAGATAAAATGGGAATAAACAAGCAACATAGGTCATGGTGATAAGAGCGTTCGGTATGGGTCAGTCACTGAGATGTCGGCTATGCATTCGACTTCATTTGCAGCACAGTAGAGGTGATTGGACGCATACTGGATATATTTAGCCTACAAGAAGTGACTTGCTGAGACCTACTAGTATAGCAATTCAATAATTTTATTTTACCCCACTAGTACAGTAATAATTTTCAGACTTTGAACGAATAGTGCGCTTGTTGAGCTCAGCGCGCATGGTTGATGGAATGAACGACGCCGTGCTTATTCCTACGGAATAAGTGTAACCATGTCTTGCATGCGCCATTGAATGTGAATGAAATGAGCCGGTCTTCACATAAAGGCAGTACTCGAAAGAAATCTTTACATGATGAGAAGTTTCATATAGTGGTGAGAAGGCAGTCGTAAAGCCGACTGAAGAATTTTCTTCGAATGGAAGCGGTACTCAATATCTTGATAAAAGGAAATTTTTCAGGATGGATTACAGCAACGAACCATAGAGTGATTAACGGAGCAGTGAACTGGTATCGATACTCTCTCAACCCTGCAGATTTGTTCAGTGATGGGTGCTTTTGAGAAACTTCTTTTGCAAAGATTTTGCAACACGCTTTGCACGGGTGTTATGGAAGCACTTTTCTGTTCGTCGTTTCAATGAGTTCCTAGTTCTATAGTAAATCTGCGACAATACCCAGTTTGAAACCATCTGCGGGTGTTTTTAAGCAATCGTTTATGACACTGACCTTCTTTTTAAATAAATTTTAGAGCAACTAGATGACCGTTGTTTGGATTGATGAGTGCTGGCTTCTAAAAAATAAGAGCCGGTTTGCTTTACCACGCAATCCCCGAGTGTCACTGATTGTCGTCACTCGTCACCTCTTCGCCGATGTTGATGCGAGCTCTGCTCATCTCCACTATTTCAGCAGCTGTTCACGTCTGTATCGTTCAGTGCTGTATCGGAGGTACCGTCTACAAAGAATTTCGTCTAAAGAAAGTCCATTGTAGTTTACCACCTCCTCATTTATTATTGAATGAAATACTGCAGTTTGACCTTGACTAGGAAAACTCGCCAGAAGGTTTAGACTTTCTAGTAAGTGACAATATAATAAGATATCTCATAACTGTATACAGTAATTTCAACGTCTAAGCTTCGCTCGTCAAGTTGATCTTATTGATGTTTTAAATTATTCGAAAATATTATATTGTCTACAGGTGGACGACCCGTGTTGAGAGCTCGTGCGAATATGCGTAGAGCTGTCGCAAATGCCGCTCCAGCTGAGACGATTGGTTTCGTTGATTTTGAGCAGAACGGAAATGTCATTACAGTAAGCTGACACTTTTTCACTTAAGCCATGAAACATTTCAAACAGTGGATCTAGTCGAGAATTCAGATTAACGGCAGCGTATCTGGATTGACTCCAGGTCTTCATGGAATTCATATCCATGAGAGAGGTAATCTAGGAAATGGCTGTCTAGATGCTGGTGGTCATTACAATCCGACCAATAATCCTCATGGAGCACCCTCTGATAGGATTCGGCATGTCGGCGATCTTGGAAACCTCATCACACCGGTAAGAATTTCATATAGAAGGCATACACAACGATACTGAGTTGATCAGTGGGCGGTAAGTAATTTGTCCTTAAAATTCAGTCACATCTAGAAATGGTACGATCTTTTCATGTTCATACATGTAATTTTGGCTTCTCTTGTTAGGCTGAATCGTATACTAAACGAAGGAATAACCGACTCATTAGATTTCTGGACTGAGGCGAAGCACTGATTGTTTACGGCAAACTTATGTTTCCGATAAAAGCAACGGTATTGTCTGAAAACAGTATACCTCTTTCGAGATGAAAGCAATAAACTGGGCACGTCATGAAAGGAAGGGAACTTTGGAATAGTGTAAGATCTCGAGCACGATCATCCGGTGTTAAATAGGTCACCAGAGAGGTCACTGCAGCTGCCACTTGTCTACTTTGTTCACCGCGCCGTACGAGTGCCTTACGAAAACTAACCTTTGCGGCGTACATGTCACGGGTTTTGAATGACGGTCGGTAAATGGAGCAAACAACATTTCGAAAACGATTTTGCACGAATTACGTCGAAACTGTAGGTATGAAAACAGAGCGCTGTTGAGTTACGCCTTTTGTCCTTCCAAGTAGATTTGTTCCTTGCTGAAGATCGTTCGACGGAGGCGAAGCGAGCATCATAGTGAATTTCATATCGCTACTGACATGATGACACGATGAAATGAAGCGAATGTGGGTTGAAGATTTCCGCAAAGATCTCCAGGCACGAAATGGATCGCTAGGACCTCTCGATAAAGAACTTTCCACTAAAGAACGAATGCTGTTTCTGCTTTTAAATGGCCTTTCAGCACCTTGACAGAATGTTACGACACTTAAAGTAGGACTTGTTAACCAGGCTTGGAACACTGCCCAATTTATAGTCCCGTAGTATATCAATGTTTTAAAGCGATATTCGCGTCGATAAATGGAAATGTTTCGATGAGTACTGTTCACTGCTACTGCTACGTGCTCTCACTGAGAGCTTTGGTGATCTTTTTTGGTAATAGAGAAACCGTTCTACACGATTTTCTACCAGCCAGAAGTTGCCGTTTCGAAGGACTAAAAAATTTGCACGAAAAAAGTAGAAAAAACAGCATAACATTTTCCCAATAAGAATTTTTAGTGATATTGAGAAAATAAGGGTTGTGGCCAAAACAGCTCCAATAGCCATCCAAAGAGGAGTTACGAAATTCCAGTAGAAGAGAGTAGGCCAGCTGCTGGGTGTAGCTGAATGGCTTCCATAGGGGATACTTCGAAGGTGATTACCGTCATATTAAACAACGATGCATGTGCAGACGGAATGCCGTCTTGTAAACAACGTGGAATTTTTCAATAAATCCGTGAAATTTTCTAAGTGTAGCAATGAATGGCGACATATTGTAAAGAACATTAAAGCCTTTACATCCGATTTCGTGGTTTCCACCGCAAATCCGGTGTGGATACTCCAGGTGAGACAGCGATAACCGTTCTATATTCAAAGTAAGAAGGCTTAGAATGTTAAAGAAAAAAAGGATTTTCCTGAAGAAACAGGTGTTATCATGCAATAAACTTGTAAGTCGCTGTGAAAGAGCTCTGGGCTTTTTCACAGCATGAGTATTAAAATCATGTAAAATATGAGAGGTCACGGCAACGATCGAACTGCGCTTTAACAGATAATGGTTGCCACCGTGATTGTTCTTCCATTCACTGAACCTTTCTGGACAGAAATCCTGAAGTCAAGCAGGGGTTCATCGGATTTGAAATCCTGTTGAGATACAACAACAACAACAACGGTGCTGATATTTAAGCAAAAGTAGGAGCCTCAATTGGGCTTTGAACACACGACTATCCTTTCCGAAGGGTCGCGTGTGATCACCACACCGACCGAAGCCGTTGTTCTATTTTTTTCTCAGCCAGTTTTTTTCTACTCTAGAGGTGCTCTCAACAATCATCTGGCCAACGGGAATGATCTGGGGAGCAAAAATCGGCATTAACACTTTTTAAGCTGAAGCTGCATTCAAAATCGTAATGTACAAGCTTTGTGAAATGCAACCACAGGGTTTCTGGAATATGAGCAAAATTGAGAACCTTAGGTGCGCTTCTAAGCGACTGTTATGTAAAGAGAAGCTTGTGCCAAAATGGATCGAGCTAACTTGAACAAATTAGCGTGAACTTTGTAAATGACCGCATTAAATCTAAAAAACAACAAAAAATACTGGAGAACTAAGATGGGAATAGTTTGATAATCAATAAGTATTTTGCATTCATAAGGTCTTACATTTCACCACAACTCATGTGCTTGCGAATCTGATGTCCGTTTTTCAGGATAGTGGCAATACTCCGATTTCCATTAGGGATACTGTGGTGAGACTCGATGGCGTGCAAAGCGTGATTGGACGAGCTCTCGTCATTCATGCCGCTGGCGACGATCTCAACCGTGGCCTCTCGCCACAGAGTAGCGTGACCGGCAACGCGGGGGGTCGGGTATCCTGCGGAATCATCGAGATCGTCTGAACGTGCGGTTTAGCTCATTTCGCTCGTTACCGTTCTGATGTAACTCCAGCGAGCATCCGTTGTATTTTAATGTGAAATTGATACAGCTTCTTTATGTTCTATTGACTGCACTTTACAATGTATCGCTTCCAGCCATTTTTGATGAACTACGGCCAGGGTCTTCTTCAACGAGTAAGGTTTTGATGCCGAATCCAATTTTTCGCGCAGTTTTTCCAATCGGTTGAGAACAACCTATGTGTTCATGGTGCCACTTTTCCTAATGGTTTGGTCATGACAATTTTTATTTCCATAATGCCTTCCAATTTTAGAGGTTTTTTTCTAGCTCAACCACATAAATATATTTCTGCTTAAAAATAATTTTGACTCGATGAAACAGTGGTTTCTGGTTCCATTAGCGTAAAAGAATAGAAAACGCATCGTCATTGAACTGATGACAGTTTGCGCTTCCGGAGACTGGGACCACATTGATTCTGAGATATTTACAAAACTCCGGACGGCTGGTATCTGTGGTGGGGAACGAACGCGTTATTACCTTTTCCGGGGGCTGGCGCGTACGCCACCACTATGCGGGTCCCTCGTTTCGCCTGTCTCTCACCTAATTTTCTATATATCAGTGCCATGAGCAATTACCCGTCTACGGGATTAACTGCCATAACTCTTTGTCATGTTGAGGATGATTCCTTTAGTTAAAAAAAGGAAATCATCGAGCCAAATGCATCTAGGTGAGATGAAATAAAATGCTAAGAAATATATGCCCGGGTGGTTCAGTGTTCGATGCTTGTTTTCTGCTGACGTGCCACGCGGAGGAATTGTTGATCCGCGGCTCAAACAGCAAACTTGGATGGCCAAACCTTCGTTTAATTAAAAGGATAAAGGATAAAGTTCTCAGCGTTGATCAATCCCTGAGGGATGCACCATGCATTCGACTTCACTAAACATCGTTTGGAGGTGGTTGAATGCATATATATCCTTTACAATGAGTCGCAGTGGCCTACCGACGTATCGAGCCAGTGCTGCTATCCACCCAGATAAGTCTGGTACCAACTTGCCGACCCCAGAGGCATGGAAGGCTAGGTGGGCCATGGGCGCGGGGTTCGATCTCACGTGTGTGTTGTAGGGCGCCTCCGACCAATGCGCCACACTCGTCACGAAAATGTATGGTAGTGTGAGAAAATATGGAGCATTCTCTACCAGATGGGAAAAGGTTCTTATCTTATATGTAGAACAACTCTTCTGACAAAAGTCGTAAGCAAAAAGAAACCAGTAAAATAAACCACACTTTACAAGAAGTTGTATGGACGAATCGAGTAAGAGGAGAGAACTACCATGGCATTGAGAGCGTTCTTTCCCGCTAGAAAAGGAAAACTAATTATTTAATTATCCTAGCTAAAACATTTTCTTAACTGAAACTAGAAATGAGTCATGGTTGGCACACCCAACATCGATTGATGCTTCGTATCTTCTCAGTGGCAAATAATTTGCGAGAAATGTGAAGAGACAGAAAACAGAAGTCTCAGACAACGTAGAATTTTGAATTATCCGTAAATTTCCTTGAGTAGGCGCCAATACAGACAGTAGTTCAGCAGAAAGAGTGAGTTGGGAGATTGACCAGGTGAAGTGGCAAGACCCGATACAGTTGATGCTGCGGGTAACATATGAATTCACTATGAATTCTGCGTCATCAGGGTTTGGCGGTAACATTGCTTCTTTGTGGGTAGTCAAGACCCTGTAACTAAGTTTTCATATATCGACCTCGACCTTCACGTTACTGATACTCCGATGGACGAGCATAAGGATTTGATCTGATACAGAGCTTCGAGCGGAGATCGATCAAAGAGCATACATTAGTGTTGCAATTGCGCAACATTAGGTTCCAGTGCTAAGGAGTGGTGGATCTGATTCATTTGGATTGAAATGAGCTCAAAATTAGATTTGGACGGTCGCTGTCGTAAAAATTAGCGCCATAGGTGTTCATCCAATCATAAAGGAATTAGCAAGTTTCTGGTTCATAATTCCTGTATAGGGAGGCAGGTAGCGCAGTAGTAGTGGTCATACTCATTAAGCAGACAGCCGAACCTAACGAGACTCTGGTTTGGCCAGTCACCGAGCATGTCAAGCTTCTCATCTCTTCGGGGTTGGGTAGGGTACCAAACATGTCTGGTAAAAGCTCACTTCCTTTAATCCATGTAGGAACGCTCTACTGTGGTTACCATAGAACGCGAAGTAGAATTGGGTCGAAGTGTATTTAACGATATTAGTAATCAAGAAAAAAATCCTCTAGCAGAAGCCAAAGCCACATGCAAAAAGGTTCGAAGACCTTTGTGGATGGTGTGTGCGAGGAAACCAAGTGGAAGAATAGCTGGGATCCTCACACTATGATACGTGTGGTGTCGGGTTATGTTAAAGAAAATCGTGTCTATAACGAAAGAAATAAAATAGAAACCATATGATACTGTGGTGTAGGAGAACAAGACTTAGCACAAATTCTGAACATTGGAGAACAATAACAAAAAACGAGACAAAGAAACAGGGCGGATACCAAGGGGAATAGCTTCCAGGCACTGCGATGGCTGAACAAAAGGTCTCCTTAAAATGTACGTTGTTCTCCACTAGAAATTAAAATTACCCCGTTCGTTGTCGGAATAAACACAACAATGAAGCCTTAGTGAATCAAATTCTATCCCAAGCATGCTGAGATATGAATAAAATTAAGCAGCATTTGAGCGCCCAAGATCAGCTATGCAGGTTTGCGATTTCAGATGGTAGCACCATTAGAGCAAAACAAACTTGTTGAGAAAAAGGCAAAGTTGATGGTCGATAGAGTGGACAACATGTGAGCTCTTGGAGAAGGTAATCATGGGTTCGTAGCTTCACTGAGGTCCCAGTTGTGCTCGTTCCTAAGTATTCTTGCCGTGGCAATTGACATAACGCCCAGTCATAAAAGAAGATTAAGCAACAAATAAAAGTTAAAAAGTTGTGACCCATTTCCTGTTCCACTGATTGAAATGCGCATGCGTTGATAAGACAAAATATCACATGCCTATGCCTATTTGATCAAAGTCTAATGCACTTCTTAATGTACGATCTAAATCGGATCACAAAATGAACAAACATGTTCGCTGACTGCTGAAGTGTCAAGAACCGAAAATTATTTTCGTTACTTCCAGAAAGATATTTTATTAATATGATCGCATCCTGGATGCCGGCAAAAGTTCTCTGCTGGAACGGAGATTAGAGGAGAGGTCTGTGCTCAACTGGGTTTTCTGATGAAGATGTTCTCGATAAATAATATTATTAAACACACAATTCAATACAACAGTAGCTGACGTTTCGGCAGTATCGCCTTCTTCAGAGCTTGGAAAGGTATACTGATATTCAATTTACTAGACCAAATACTTCAATAACATATTTATTTATGAGATCTTATAAACTGATCTTCTTAAGCTGACGCGAGGTTGGTACAGATCTTCGTTGTCGTTGTCGTTGTTTTTGATGTTATTGATCGATGGCTGACGTTTCGGCGACTTCGCCTTCCTCAGAGCCGTGATGTTACGTGCGGGACTCTTTTCCGTCCTCTATAAGATCACATAAATAAATATATCAACTATCTATGCCGAGGTTTATAGAAAGTCGGTCTTTCGAGTTATTAAAAGACCAAAATGTTCTCCAACAGAAACCTCAGTGAAGCTACGAACCCATGATTACCTTCTCCAAGAGCTCACATGTTGTCCACTCTATCGACCATCAACTTTGCCTTTTTCTCAACAAGTTTGTTTTGCTCTAATGGTGCTACCATCTGAAATCG